CTTTTCAAGAGTGAGGATGATCTGAGGAGAGGTGTGTGTGTGTGTGTAAGGGTCTAGAGCATGGCTGGGACTGTGCTCATGGGGAGAGGTGGAACTGACAGAGAGATGATACCAGTCACCTTCTGATGTCTCAGAAGGGATATCATGTTCCTCAGATCCAGAGAGAAGTAACATCTTCACTGATTGTCTTGTCCCACTGCCAGGATGAGGCTATAGCAAGTAAATGGTTTGGTAACAGGAGGAGTTGCAAAAGGGCCCCTGGAGTCCAAGCAGGTGGTACAGCTGGTGATGACAGGCTCAGTCTGTGGGAACACTATGTGTGCTGGAGATAGCCAGGGAGAACTCATTTTAGCAGGAGCTGGGCAGACTCACAGTCACATGGGCCTTGGCTCAGCTGTACAGCCTGAGCTTTAGGAAGCTGAGAGGGCAAAGTTTTCAGAACTTGTATATTGCAGCTGAGTGACTCTGCAGCACAGTGATTCCCTTTCCTGGGGCCAGCGGGTTGTTCTTGCAGCCCTATTTCTGCAAGGATCACAAAATGAAAGGCAAAGACCACCCCACCCCCACCCCAATTTCTAATCTGATAGTGTATTTGGAATTTGCTCAGGAATTGGGCGAAGATTCAGTTTGAGCTTGCGATGTGAAGAGTTCGCTTCTGGCTAATGCTATTTCTGTTACATCCCTCCTTCAGAGCATGATTTAAGAAGACTCTGATAGAAAGGCGCTGCCTCTTGCTGACTCTGCATTAGCTCCTGCTGCATTTGAATGCAGCTTAATTCCCCTGTTGAAAGGAACTGGCACAACCAATCCCCATGAACTCTTCACACCTGACAGAAACACAAGTGAAGAGGTTGATCCATAATAACTAGGAAATTGGGATCAAAAGCAGGCAGGCTTAGCCCAAACTGTTTTGCTCAGAGGCAATACTGCAGCTTATAATATACAATGTAATTGCTAGAGAACATAATTTCTGCAAGTGAAGGCAGTTTCCAGAGTGGAAAAGCTGCTATAAATATGGTTCTAAATACTACTCAAATTAGGTTAGGAAAGCACGAGTGTGACTAATATTTAAAAGAGCAAAAGGAAAATGTCGTGCAGTGTTGTCCTATTTCTGGCATCACTTCTCAGTTGAAAGGCCGTTGTCACCCATCTGGCCTCATATGTCATTCAGAAACAAGAAATCAAGAACAAGGCAGAAATGGTGTTCCTTAAAGTCCTCTTCCAAACAACAGAAATTGTCATCCTACTTTACAGCGGTGGCAGGCATCTTCAGTTCAGGGTTGCAGTTGCTCTGTCAAAGGTGTGCTGAACTATGTACTTTACAAATAGTCCTTTTTTATGTCTCAGATGCTGTGTTAACAAAAGGCTAAACTGCAGGAGAGATTCATCCTTCCCCACACTTTGCCACTTTTACTATATACACTTACTCTATGCTCTCTATACTCTGTACAGTGGAGACCAGACTCACAGCGTGGGTGTGAATTTAAGATTTTTTAAAAAGATATACTCTGTGTGAATAGTCTGACAAATGCAGAGGATTCCACATATCTTAGCATTTGTTGTCCTTTTTCTTTGTCTCATAGGACAGCCAGCTTCACTGAGGATTAGCTATCAACAGCCATTACACAGCAGGGAGTTAAGTACAACAGTTACTGAATTACAGAATGGTATAAAGATCTGCAGACTCAGTAAGTTGTATCTCCTCATGACTAGGGAATTTTTTTTTGGTCTTCTGGCTAGATAGTCTATATTAAACTTTTTTCAAGGCAGTGATTGAAGTAGTATTACTGAGGGAATTTTAGCACTCAAATTTCCTGGCACATTAGGGATTTTTCCGGAACAAAACGTTACCAAATTGCTGGCTGATCATTGGAAAAATGTGTCCCAGAATCACAACTGTGGACTTTTACTTTGTTTTAATCAGAGAGGGAGAGAGAGACCATTATTACAGTTTGTCATGTTTATATCCCATGTGCTGTGGAATTAGTGCCTTAAAGTAAGTTAACAGTCTAATCTCTTGCCTGTAGCCATTGCTAAACTGCTAATAAAAAAAATGCAATTTAAGTCAGCCAGCAATTTTTGTTAAATTCAGAGAAAGTAATTCAACATTTCATTTTTTCAAGGCACTTGATACTGCATTTGCTGGGGAAAACTACATTCTCAGGAATATTTCCATAGTATATATTTTTGTATTTACCTTTGGCATAGCATAATAAATGCCTTATCAAGGGTGGCTTTTTCATTTTAGAGAGAAAATGTAAGTGGACCATATACTTGTATTATAAAAATAACTAGAAAAGAGAGTTTGTGTGCATGAAGGTATTTGCTTAAACTTAACTAGTGTAAACAGGTTTACAAAACAAGATTTGGGGGTTTTGTAGCTAGTTTACATGCCCATGATGCATATCCCAGGATTTCCTTAGCATGTGCAAAGGATGACAAATATCAGTACTTCATACAACTATATTTAATAAGTTATTACAGAAAAAAATAAAGTTCAAACTACAAAGTTTAAGCAGTTGTAAGCAATAGCAGCATTGAGCTCCATGTTTAGTCACAGTACTGCAGTTCCATACAAGCATTAGTCCAAGCCAAAAAGGAAGAAGCCTTGTTAGAATTACTAGCAAAAACAATCTAAGAGAACATGTAATAAAAGATACAGTACATTTAAAATTAGTTGAAAAACAAGTACAGAGATATTAGTTGTGAATGCTCTAAAAGTTATGTCCATTATTTTGACAGTAAAATTACAAATATCTAGTACTTTATACCCCAACAGAACTACATCCAGGAAAAAAAAAAGAAAAAAGAAAAAGAGCCATTAATTATCTCTTATTAGCACCCTGGTTTTCTACTTACTGCTAAACTTTTTCTCATGTCAATTTGAGTGTGTCAGAATTAGGTGACCAATGTGATTTCTGACCAGCTACCCATTTGGGGTATAGAGTAGTCACTAACATGAATATAAAATACTCTGTGGTATGATATAACACTATAGCAGCAGAGAGCAAGAAGTTGGTCTGGTTTAAAAAAAAAAAAAAGGAAGGAAAGAAGGAAGGAAGGAAAAGAAAAAGGGTTTAGCTGACATCATACAAACTAGCATAAAAGCAACTACATACAAGCCAGATTAAACAAAAGAGACATTTCTACAAATCTGTGACTAATCTTTCACTCATACCTTGCAAGTAGAGATGTCACAATACTGAAATATTAACATGGGAGCTTTTCCCAGTTAAGCGCTTTTTTTTTTTTTTTTAACTACTCTAACAGTGAAATCAGCAAAGTTATTTGCTAACTGCATATTTGCAATACGATTTGTTTTAGCCCATGCCTTGCTAGCAGGCTATAAAATACAAGCATGTCAGCAGAAATAGAAGCATAAACTTTGTACCACTTAGCAGGAATTTTTGTATTCCCTCTTCATTCCTTAATCTCCTTTGTTTGCAATTTGCATACATTCCAACCAGTAGTACCTAATTTGAGTCTAAATTTTACTTCACTATTTGATCTAGTCTATACATTACTTACAGAACTGAACACAGAGGATACACAGTAGACCAACTCTGGACACGTTTCTTTCCGCAAGTTACAGATGAGCCCCTCTTAACACTGTAGCATAAGTTAGTCTAAAAGGTCATCGGTAACTTGGAGTAATTGTTTCGTCCAGAGAAAGTCATTGTATGCCCTGTTTACGCAACACCAGTTTTAGTCTGGATTGTTTCAGGTGCCAGAACCAAGAGTCACTGGCTTCAGGAAGGGGTTTCTTCTGGCTGCATAGGGAAACAAAGGGGATGTAAATGGGGTGAAGCGAAAGGTGTTTTGTTACTGGCACTTGGCTTTGCCAATAGAAAAGAAACAAAGGACAAAGACGCAAGAGAGGCAGAGAAGAACAGAGAAAGACAAAGAAGCTGAACGGATGTTCAGACGTGGTGGCAATATGGGTTACTGAATTGCTACCAGGAAATGGACACAAGTTATTTTGCATTAATGAGGCAGCTACCAATACTGCGGTAACGCCGCTAGAAAATGATGTGGGTACCTACAGTCTGCACCATGCCGCCACTGAGAAACGTATGCAGGCGGTAAGTTGTGCAGGAAAGGGTCAATTTAATTAAATAAATAACACGGTGGCAAAATACAATGAAGAGTATAGATTTTAAGAGGTTCAATCTAAGAGTATTGAAAAGAGAGTTTATTGAGTTCACGAGGAGAACAGTAATGGAGCATTATGCTGAATGGGCAGGGTCAAACACCCATCATTTCAACAGATTTGGTTCATTGTAACGGCAATAGTATTTCATCAACACTGGTGGTGTATAAATCTAGACAGCGAACTGGTACTGTGACATCCCTATTATCTCCCTAAATCATTTTGATAAAGGAAAAGGCTTTTCAAAATATCACATTTTTTCTGCTTCATTCTGTCATTTTATTGCCCAATTCTTTGTTACAATTTTCCAATCACTTTACATAACCAACCATTTTCATCATTGCCACACTATTGTAAACCACATCAGCAAGTTAATACATAAAGCTTTGCATTTCAAAAAACTAGACACTTTAGTAACAATATTACAAAGATTTTAGCTTCAAAAATAACTGAAAATGAAAAAAATAAACTTTTAAAGAATTAGCATCATAAAATTAATTTATTCCAAGTAAAAATACAAAATAATATTAATGACATTGACCAGATATGAAAGTCTCTCCCAGAAACAACTATATTAATGGTTGAGAAAGCACTCCTTAAAGAAAATACGAAATAAAAATGAAAAATATGTAAATATGTTTAATTTTTTTCTTAGCAAAAAATCTTTCTAAAAATAACAATGAAAATTTGTCTCAGTACAAAGGCTACATTACTATTGAAAAAATACCAGCATGAAGAAAAGGTACATATTTGACAGTAGAAAAATGATTTTAGTGAATCACAATGTCTAAAGTCTGCAATGAAAATAAATTTGCAATAAAGATTTATGCCTTTTTTCTTTTCATTTTTCTTTTTTTTTATACAAACAGTACAAACAGTATTGCACATAACAACAAATAGTCGAGGTTAGGTTAGCCTTCAAAAAAATTGACTAGTTCAAGTCTCACATCAGAAAAGGCCACAAGAGGACCTGTTGTACCCAGGGGCTTCTTAGTCAAGTTGCAGTTCAGAACTCCGTATTTTAAAAAATAACTTTTTTTGAAGGACCCTCTTTTAATACAACATATTAACAACTCAGGGGCACATTCATTTACAAAACAAAAGGGAGCATGTCATAATTTAATAAACTAAAAAAAGTTCTCTTTAAAAAAATACAAACAGAAGAACTCTCACAATTCTGGTCAGTCGTGCATAATCACACTTGATTATAAATATACAAATTAAGGGAAAATATTTTTTCACCTTCTATTCACAACTTTCAGCACCAAATGGAGTTTGAGTTTACACCTGTTCTTTATCATGACTTTGTTTTAGATTTCATCCAACGTTATGCTATATTGTACATTTTCCAGCCTCTCTCTCTCAATCTCTCTCTCTCTCTCTCTCTCTCTCTCTCTTTCTCTTTCTCTCTCTGGGGGTATTTTTGTACATGAAAGAGGGGTATTTCTTCAAAAAGGTTTACTTCTTTCACATAATTAGGTAGATTTCTGTAGGTTAGCTATGATCTTTAATATTACAGTTATAAAGCTCTAACTTCTTCATTTTCAAAAAAACTCAAATAAGCATGAAAAAAATAAAGTTAACCATCTGTTAAATCATTTTTCTTGCAGAATTAAATTAATATATATTTTTCTGAATAAACTTACTTAGAAAATATCATTTTCTTTCCTATATTTCAAAATTGAGGTATTGCAAAAGATCATGTCAGTCAGAAAGCATGCCTTTTTCTTTAAAAAAAAAAATCATCAGCCGACTGTTGAAAACTGTCTAGATACAAAAAGTAGTGCATAACAAAATGTCTTGTACAGATGAAAAAAAACGGAAAAGACACCTGGGCTGGGAAAAGCAATATCACAAAAACGCCCAGAAGTAACTTCAAAAGGGATAATTATAATAAGCATTTTAAACCAGTAAAAAACTATTTTTCTTTTTTTTTTTTCCAAAAACAGAAAAAATCCTTTCAAAGCCAATACTCGCAACTAAACAGTGGGAAAAACAGCTTACTAAATTAGACACAAACAAGGACATCACAACAAACAGAACCCAGAACATTTAAATCTACTATGCGGTGTCATATCCAGTCAGATTGTCCCCAGAACTGCAAAAATCAAGGAGGAAAAGGAAAAAAAATAGTGTACACATTCTCACAATCATTAGTATACCAAGTGTGTTTATATTTATATGCTATCTGCAGCCCCATAGTTCATGCTAAAAAAATGTCCACTGTGTTAGCAGGTCTTAATTGTGTTCAAGCTTCGCAGGATACATCCAGGGATTAGAGATAACGCCACATCCACAGAGCAGACATCTCGTGTTACTGTTATACGCAGACATTTCTTTAGCACCGCTTTTTTCCCAACTTTCTTAAATGTGCCTAGTTTCTTAGTTTGACAGACTATCTAATCGGTAGTGTATGTACGCTAGCATGAGCTCTTTGGTTTTCTGGACAAGGTCTGCAGCTACGTAAATGATGCAAGCATTAGGAGACAGATTGTAACTAAGAGCTCATTTCTGTTTATGTACCTGTTATGAACTGTCAAGAATGTGTTAATGTTGGATACAGAGGCTTTAACAGTTAAGTTTGATCACAGTACTAGACATAATCACTTTACTATATAAAATAAATTGCACGATATATAACAGAGCACCGCAAAGTACTTCATCTACCATCCACAAATTTGTTTTAAGAATATCCTACAGCTAGTTTTTATATTTGTTGTAATATAGGTCATTCTGTAATGGGCTGATCCTAATTTCACAAGCATTACATTTACTGAGGCATGCCTTCCTCCAGTCAGTAATCAATTTGTTTGTTGTTGTTACTGAGCATTTTGTAGCCTACGTAAATTCATAATTTGTGCATTGTGGGCAGGTTTTATATTAGACATATATAAAATTTATTGCATGCAGCAACCTGATTAAGTAAACATGCAGTCAAAAAATATTGACCTTCCTTGGAAGCTTTTCTGTATGCTATACTGATCTCCTTTCAGCAGCCATCACTATTTTAATCACATATTCATTTTTTAATTGATACCCTAGCCTGAATAGAGTATTATGGTATTAGTAATACCATTTTAATAGCAGCAAAAGCTATTGCAGCATACATTTACATAACACTAAAAGACCTAACAAAAGAAAAAAACAAAACCCAACAAAACAAACAAAAAAACCTCAGCAAAAACAAAAGAAAAAAAGTCTGATCCAGCTTATGAGGTATCATCCTTACAAGTCAAAATGGAGAGCAACTAAAGGCTTATTTTCTTTAAGGGTTATTACTACTCGAAATGACCCAAAGTAATGATTGCTGAATATCTGTTTAAGTTTTTGCTACATCTGCCACCTACTTGTGAATATTACCTTTGGTAAGTCATCTGCTAGGGGCAAGCCTAAATTTCTGAAAATAAGTGCATGCTCCAGTTTAAAAATAAAAATAATTATAATAAAAAAATCTTCATCACATACACATCAACCCAGTGAAGGCTGATGAGAATGGCAGTCTACATAATGTCACTAGTGACAAGTCTTGTGTAGGAAATTAAGGTACCAAGCAGATGTTTGTGTGAATCAAAGTGCAAAATCAGTACAGTTACACTCTGCCGGTTTGTATTATACTGGACACTGAGTTCAGTAATGTGACTGTAAATAATAATAATAGTAATAAAAAGACCCATATCTTCATTAAAGTCGAGGACGAATGCACAGATTTCCAGAACACTAAGCCCTGAGGCAGCGCTCTTTTTTCACTCGATTTTATTTACTCCAGTACTTGTTGCTGGGTGAGGCCTGGGGTTCAGCTCCAGCGGAACGGGACGTGGCGGGGCCGGTCACCTCCCTCCTTTACCAGTGGTTTGTGGAACTCCCGCCCAGCACGAGAGTGTATGCTGGCCCAGCAGTATTCACAGTAATACTGCAAACAGGTAACATTGGCACAAAAGAATGGTGCAAATTTCCCACCACAGCGAGTGCCCTGGCATTCATCACACATCTGATCATCCAGCACATATGGCTTCACTTCCACCTGCACCAGAAAGAAGAGAAAGAACTGTAAGAATGTTGCATAGTTTTGCTGTGTATGAACAGAAGGAACAATATTTTCATTCTTTTGACTCCATTGAAGGTTTTCAACCAATGCTGGATTAACCCAAAGAGGCTGGTAGCTAGATTTTCATACCAACCACTTCACTTCTCAGAAAATCTCAGGAAAGATGGGTGTGCTTTGGTAGCTATTCAACATTTCTTGGAAAAGTTAGGTATGTGAAAGTAGTGAGATGAAAGTACAGTAAAAATAGCATCTCCAAGGATTTTGCTGCTGTCTAAGAAACCTCCAGGAATTTGAATACAGTTGTTAGGATGGGCAGGGTGCAAGATAGCACCATTTAGGAAGAAAAATGATAAAAAACAAATGTGTATTTCTAAACTTCAGAGGTCTGGTGAGTTTCAGAGGCTTTTTGTTAATTTGGGGGTTTTTTGTGAATTGCAAAATGCAGATTAGTAAATGAAAATTCAAATTAAGTTTAAATACGCTTGTATTAAATACTCTGCCTTATGCTGGCAAAAATTACTATCTAAAGAATTTCTAGCTCTAGAAATGTAGTAAGATTTCATAGTTGTACCAACTATGCCTTGCCATCAATTACAGATAGGCTGGAGAGCTGCTGACTTTTGTCCTGTGCTCAGTTGGAAACATCTTAGGAGTGGAATTTTTTGTTTTTAAAGCACTTGTGCCCAACAGCAGTAATCTGATGCACGACAAGGCACTCACAATAATACTGTAACAGACGTTGGCAACATGCAAATTATCTCCTGCAGTTCCTAAGAATCAAGCCTACACATTTAAATGGAGTGTTTATTCATTCTGGAGAAAACATTAGATTATGCATGTATGATTCTTATGGCTCTGTGATGCTATTTATAAAGTGATTTGAGTACAGTCAACTACATTGAGAGAGAGAGAAAAAATTAAAATATACATACATCTATTATAAATAATTTTGCTGTAACTGCAAAATTTGCCAGACTAGCACATTTGTATATTGCAAGGAAATCTTGACTCCAGTAAATACGCTTAAATATATATACACAGTATTAAAGAAACACAGAGTGAGATACTAAGTTGAAAAACAAGAAACATATTATACAAAAAAGCTTTGTGCTGAATTTTTCTTCAGCTTATCCTAATTACATTTCAACAAACATTACTAATTTAGAGTAAAGCTTATATAGATAATAATATTTCTCACCTAAGGAACAGCTAGAACTGCCAATTAGTTTATTTTAAACAACACTGTACTACTAGTATTGCATGGAACAAGTCTGAATAACTCTCATTTTGCATATCAGATGCCCTACCACTGAAATTAGAAGCATCAAGTAAAATAAAACAGCAGCATTAGAAGAAAGCAGGTCCAAAGTCCAGCACATCTCTAGATCCCCACCTACTCAGACTTCCAATGCATGAATTGTGAAGGTCTGAAATAGATTATCTTTCTCACTCCTTTTCTCGTTTTGGTTACTAGTGAAATAATTTTAAGAATGTATGCTGTGCAATTCAGGAATTTCCATCTATTAGATTTTAAAACTAATATTTAAGGACTAAGAGTCAGCCATACATCTTCAAACTCACATATAAAACTATTGTAAAAACAGATAAAAGATAATTAAGTAAACTTAAATTATCAGTCAACCCACTGAGAAAAGTGCTGATTGATGGGGAAAAAACCAAAACCTACCAGCTAGCATAATTTGAGGCTCTATCCTAAAGCTTAGAAAAAATCCCCAAGTTTTTAAGCATGGCTGATATACAAATCTCAAATGATTCAACACTGTCATTAAGACTCCAAAGTTAATCTTCTTAGTGTCTCTGTAAAAAATTTCAGAATTCAACAGACAAGAAATATTTAGGGACAACCTTGTCTTAGTTAAAATCATAAGGTATAATAGCACCATTGAAAAACAGTTTGAGGACTTATTACTCCATGACCATCCAATCTGACAAGAAGTTCAGTTCAGATTTTGAAAGAGAAAGTAAGAACAGCTTGGACTTTGTAGCTGTGTGTTTTTATACGTAAACTGCGCATAATAGACACACACAATACTTGTCAAGCTGACTTCTTAATAACCAATTTAAATTAGAATAAGTAGAAAAGAAGCTATCTCTATTGTAAAAGTATTCAGCAGCAGTGCATGCTGTATGTTCTTTTGAATAATTCTAAATGGCAAGTCCTCAAAAACATAGGTGTTATTTGTACCTGTAATCAAGAGGTGAAGACAGAAGGTCTAAAGGAAAAAAAGTAATCCTGGAAAGTAAGTAATGTCTTCAACTCAGATTTCAGTAAATACCTTCACTCCATGTTATACTTGAAAATCACTTTAGAAACCAGGATTTCATATGAACTGAACAAAACCATCTCATTCCTCCTCTCTTTTGTCTGTCAAGCATCTATTGGCATTTGGTCTCAAGACTTTTGAGGTCAGCATTATCTATTATACTTATGATAAACCTGTGTTTTAGGAACCTCAAGCCTAGACATACATTGCCGAGACAAAATGTTGCCTAATAATAGCAGCAATGCCAGAAGCTACATATGTAGCCACTAACTAAAAGCTGCTGATGCACAATAAGCAAACATCTAAAGGAGGAGAAAGAAGCTGGGAAATTCTACAGTGTTTGACTTTCAAACAAAACCAAGAACAAACGAGCTTACAACCAACTATGTTCTGGTTTTAGTGCTAAACAGTTATTTAAGATGTTTAAGATACATTTTTTCACTCTGCTTTAGCTGCTTAAATAAGCTTTTAAATAATTAACAAATGGCATCTGAAGAACAGAGGTTACAGTGTTCTCCAGCATAATATTAATATAAGGATGTTTTTCATTTCTGTACAGTGTTGTGAGGAATTCTGTTCCATGCTATTTTACTTACCCGTTTATCAATGTCATTATGTTGGAGCTGGACAAAACGAGCACTGATAGCAGCAATATAGCTCTGCTGATTGGAGAAAGCCACTCTGCCAGCACCTTTCGGATACTTCAACTCTGGGTCTGTATCAATGCCAGCATAGCAGACACCTCCATATAAACGGTCCATAATCATTGCCAATTCAACTGCAAGAAGTCAATTGTTCAATATTATACATTTAACATAAATGATAGTGTCGCATTTGGTTTACTGCACTTTAAAAGTGCCATTTGCCTTAGTGTTCATGTCTTCCAAAGTCTAAAACAGCAAACCCAAATGTTAGTTTCAACAGACTGAATCAACCCTACATGAATTGTAGTAAAATATAAAGGCAAAAACCAGAATCTGTAAAAAGGAAGCTGGTGTGACTGACGGTGAAAAAAAAATGCAGAATTACAATGTTAAAGTAGGTATCAGGTCAACCGTTTTAGAATTTATCACATTGTAAATTAAAACTGTGCTATTTGGGATTAGGTATTCAGGATCTTCCCCAGCCGCAGCCAGGCTTGTTAATGCTACTTTACACACGAGATCACTTAAAGATATTCCTGTATTTAGAATCTGTTATTTTGCCCTAAGTACTAAAGTTGAAAAGACATTAAGGAAGTGTTTATATTTGAAACAAAATTTTGTGAAGCATGAGAAGTTACTACACTTAAAGCAAGCCTGTATTTTGGGTGCAACTTAGCAGTGTATTTGTAGAACACTAACTTGATTGTGGATCTTTTAATATGGTGTGTTGCTTTTTCTGACACTAAGAATAACTCTAAAGAACTCATAATTCATAAAACAAGACAGGCTGAGTGCATGGCTGAGGAAACATACAGGGAGAAAGTTAAAGAAAAGAACTGAAGGAAGTAGAACAGAGGCTGAAGGAAGTGGAGAAGAGGCATATATGCTGCGCAAAGATGTATGTCACCGAGCCAAGTTCTTTGTAAAAGTTGATTGGCAAACAAATTTGTCAGGTGGATGAGTGACAGAATCTGACAAAGAAAGATACAGGGACCTGTACAGGGCCTGCCAAGTTAGCCTTTTTTTAATACTGATGTGTGAAAACACTTCCATTAGCAAGTTAAAACTTAGCTATCCAAAATAAAATGAGGAAGATATACAAAATATTTAAATCCTTGCAGTACAAAGTATTTAAACCCTTGAGGTTCACCTGGGCCCACTTCTCCAGCTTGTCCAGATCCCTCTGGATGACATCCTGTCCCTCTGGTGTGTCAAACTGCACCACTCAGCCTGTGTCATCTGCAAACTGGCTGAGGGTACCCTCAATCCCACTGTCTGTGTCACTGACGGAGATACTAAACAGCACTGGTCCCAGTACGGATCCCTGAGGGACACCACTTGTCACCCATCTCCATCTGGACATCGAGCCATTGACCACTACCCTCTGGATGCGACCATCCAACCAATTCCCTATCCAATGAACAGCCCACCCATCAAATCCTTATCTCCCCAATTTAGAGAGAAGGATGTTGTGGGGGACCATGTCAAAGGCCTTACAGAATTCCGGATAGATGACATCCACTGCTCGTCCCTTGTCCACTGATGCAGTCACTCCATCATAGAAAGCCACTGTGTTGGTCAGACAGCACTTGCCCTTGGTAAAGCCATGCTGGCTGTCTTGAATCACCTCCCTGTCCTCCACGGGCTTTAGCACAGCATCCAAGAGTATCTGTTCCATGACCTTTCCAGGCACAGAGGTGAGGCTGACAGGACGGTAGTTCCCAGCAAACATACAGGCCAAGGAAACCATGCAGTGTTCAGACATCTTAGGAAAAAACTTCTGTATCAGATCTTTAAAGTTGCAAACAAGAAAAACTGGAAACCATTTGTCTGCTTTGGAGAAGTTAACTACTTAAAGGCATCACTTTTAAAATGCGATACATTTAAAATACAATCTGTGACAGGCCAAATGGCATACAGTTTTATAAAGGCTATAATTAGAAATGAGGTAATGTTTAATTGTTACTATTTACATCACTAGCATCTTAAAATTATGCCTTATTTTAAGACGGTAAGGAAAGTGAAAGCTGCCAAGAAGAAGAAAGAGACCTGGGTTGGGAGAAATCTTACTGTCAGCAATGGCTGGGGGACCTTGTGTACATCTTCTCAAAAGAATTAGCATTAGAAGAAAGATAAAGCTGTTGAAGTTCTAGCAGGCTGGAAAGTGGCTGCCAAAGGAAAGTGAGGGCTACCAGGAAATCTGATTCAGCAGACTTCCTTCCTGACAATGACTGAGGGATCTTGTCTACTACAGCCCTAGAAAATTAGGACTAGGATTGAGAGGATGAAAAAGAGAAACCACGCAGCTGACTTGGAGCAAGGATGGAGGGTGACTACCAAATGGAAGTGAAGGCTGACAAAAGACCTAGCTAGGAGAAATGTTTCAGGTTGCTTCGTGACCTTGTCATTGGCTCAAAAATATAAAGTTTAGGAGGAAAGAAAAGGGTTTTGAGCTACAGTGGGAGTGATGCTGAGAAGAGACCTTCAAAACTAAGAGCTGCCAAGACATCTGGGCTGGGATAAATTTTTCCTCTGGCCAAAGGCTAAGGAGTCTTGTCTATGGCTCTCTCTGCAAATAAAAGTGAAGTAAAAGACTTAAGGGTGAAGAAACAAGAGAAAAAGAGCTACATTAGGAGTGAGTTTGGAAAGTGGTCTTCAGTACAGAGTAGGGTCACCAAGAAATCTGGGCTGGGAGAAATTTTTCCACAAAAAAACCAGCCAGGTTCTAGGATATTACACTAACTTTAGGAAAAGTGTTCCTACTGAAAAATCCTCATTAGTAACCTATTTAAAAGATCAGAAATGTTCACAGTTTGTATTTTGTTGACAGGAAGACACTCACTGACTTAGAAAGTGAGCTACAATATCTGAAAAAATTTTCTGCTCTTTTACATATACTGTATATTATTTTTCTTATCTTTTCTGCCTCATCTGGAACCCCCTACTACACATCCCTGCATTTGCCTTCTACTCACCAGCTCGGAGGGGCCGTGGAACTCCTCCAACAAAGATAGTTTTTCTTGGATCCAAAGGCTGAGACCCGTCCATCACAAAGTCACTGTCACTCAGGTTCCAAGGTCGTATTTGCACCTGTATTAAGGATTGTTTTTAATTAAGCAACCTGACAACTCAATTAGAATTAAGAAACTGTCAAATCTTTCTATAATTAAAAATACTCTTTTAACTTAGCAAAAGCAGTAAATCAGTGGTATAAGCACCAAAACAATTTGAGAACAGCTTATCTAAGTGTTTGAAAGAAAATAGACAATTCACTTATCACCTCTAGAGGCCAGGCTTGAGTTAAGTGTCATCATTGCAGAACTCCTACCTCATTAATTCCCTGTCCCTAATCGCCATTATAAGATGGCTGTGAAAGGACTTTCAGAACATTTTACCATGTGTGTGCAATTACAGTTGCATTTCGGGCTTCTGGCTTTCCTGAAATCACATACGCTGATCCACAAATGTTAAAGCACTGATAGGAGTGCAGATAAAATTAATTTCTCTGCGTGGATACAAAAGGTGTTTCTACAATGTGTGAATGCTCTCTTATGTTAAGCAGTAAGAAACACAGTTGATTAGAAATCTTTAGATTGCACAGAAAAAAACCTGCTTAGAAGTCATTTGAATAAAGCTGTTCATCCATCCATTTATTGATCCTAGAAGTCACGTAAGCACACTCACTGTGCTGTAATATTGGGTAGACAGTCTTCTATTCTGCTATAGCTGTCTGCATTACCTGTTTTTGCCCCGCAGTTTATATAAGGTAAATCAGACCTAAATTATAAATTGATTAGCTATTGCATGCAGAAAAAAATAATTATTAAGAAACTTAGCAAAGTACAGGAGATATTTGAAACTATCTGGATTTTAATTTGGGGCAGGTTAAGTTTCTTCATTTCATTGCATAAGGTTTTCTTTTCTTTTAAATAATATAGAGGGGAAAATTATAATCTGATTGTTTTACAGCTAACATTGTAAAAGAATGCGTAGTCCTGTGAGATACCAGAAGTACTAAATGTAAAAGTTTATTGAACGTGGCATTTATCAGAAAGAAGCAAATGTTAAAACCACGTTACGCTGATACAGAAAGGCAGTTCAATGTAACAGCAAGGACAGCAACAGGAAATGGACAGCCCATCAACTGTAAGCACTTATTTATTTATTTACTGAAAAGAGTAACAGCAAATGGGTAAGCAACCAGCGTAAGTGTCATGGCATAAGCTACTTACTGGTTTATCCTTGATTGTAGGACTCGACACACACAGGTAAAGTTTCCCATCTTCTTCCAGACAGGCATCTATCAGAGCTTGTACAGAGCTTTCTTCCTGGAACAGCAGAAAGGCATAACCTTGGAAAGGAGAAAGGCAAAAAACAAAAAACAGATTAATTTATAAAGCATTTTTTTAAATAAAGAAAACAAACCCAAGAAGTGAGTATGATGCACAGATTACAAATAACTGTTAAGGCTGTTCACATGTTTTCATAAATTAAATTCACCAAATAGATCAAAGTATTGATTTCAGAATGGAGACAAGAGTGTTTGCTGCATATGGGTATGTTGATTTGATTAATTAATGATTATGAACAGTGAGAATATTTGCTGGTGAATATTGGGTTCCTATTATTCAACTGTATCTGAGCTATTTAGCAGTGGTATCTGCTGGTATCAGTGATTATCATCTTACAAAGGAGACACCAAGCTTCTGGTTACTATATACAATATACAATTAATAAATATTAGAAGAAAGGGTCAAAAAAGTGGACAGCTAAACAGATAAATAGACTTCTATGTTCACGTACTTAACTATAGAAAAAAGTTCACCCAAAAACAATAAGCATGAATGAAAAAGAATGGCATGCAATGTGTTTTATTATGAGGCAAAGGCCTGTCGTTATTATTTATATTTAAATAAAGCAGTTCAAAAGAAAGAAAGAAGAAAGTCCACTAAAAATTGCACCAAGTGATCGAGAATTTTAGAACTTCAAATTAGCCAGTATAAGTAAGCGTGTGTGGCATTCAGTGCTCTTCTGAATGCAGCTGGCAAGAAAGCTTTCTTCAGTCTTAATGTTGTTAAATTTGAATGAAGATTTGACTCAAGCAGTCGATGCTTTTGCTACCTCAGAAGTGAAACTAATACAGCACACCCTACACCAAGCAAAGCTGTCTAAAGACTGGCTGCTAGACCTGAATACAGCTGCCCAGTTAAGAGGACTTTCTATTGAGCACGCATTGCTCTTTTGCTCCATAATCAGGACAACTTGGTTTTCGCGCTGAATGTGAACGTGTTGCCTTTGACCCTGTAATTTGGCACTTGTGTGTTTTACAGGCTACCTCTTTTCATAAAATCTGGAGCAATTAGAGGCAGCTGGAGTTTAAGCAGGGGACTGTTGGACTTTCTCTGCCTAAGACTCTTGACACAAAACAAGTGCCTACATGATGATACAGTGTATTTAAATGATGACAGCTTTTGATACAACTTTACACAGTCTATTTGCTATTAATACAGTATTGACTCAGTACTCAGTGAAAAATAAGGGTGAATGAATACTATTTGGCAAGTCCTTTTAGATAAATACTACAACTACTCTGGTTTATAAAAAAATTTAAGATAGACACCAAAAAAGTGTTTTCCTCTGTAGAGTTATCTACCAAATCACCTCATACGCTCCTATCTCTAGTCCTGTGCAACTTCTCAAAGAACATTAAATTTAATGCTGCTATTTTTCAGAGGCCAAAAGAAGTTTGTGTTAATAACATAGTTATAACTCAGTTATAACACATCTAGAAAGACTGACTTCACCAAGAAAACAAAATAGTTCCATCATCACTCTCAAAGATACCAGTCCCAATAAAAAGTGAAATATTTATTGAGTAAAAACATCAGTTTCCTCTCTAGCAGATGTAATTCTCGTAAAACAGTCCTCTAAAGATATAAATGCACTTAATTTTAGTTTTAGACTTTACAAAACTAATTACATCAACTAAGTACAAAAATAATTAGCTTGCAAACACCATAATTTCCAAACCAAAAATGTATTAATCCAAACAACTTGAATTATTAAGCAGATGCTGAAAGTTGCTTCAAATTCCTCAGCATCATGTGCTTCAGCACATTCTCCCCTGTGTGTATCGTGTGACTTAAAGCTACGGGGTTTTTTTTCCAAGAAGCAAGAGTTTTGATGAATTTCAAATTCTTAACCCGCTACAGCAGAATCTTGGTAGCATGCTGTGGTAGTATGTTGCAGACAAACTGCAGCAGTGATCCCTTCTTATCTGACCACATGTTCTAAAGGTTGGAGAATTCAAGAGACTGCTTCTGACTCAGAATCCACAAAGTAAAACAGGCAAGATATTTGAAGCTCCAGAAAAAAGCAAGGTACCCAACAGCCACAAATATTCTATATACACAGATATATGGCTTCTTGCAGAGCAGAAACAATCCAGCTCCTTCTTAGCTGTTGGTGCAACACATCACTGTAGTGCTGACAACAAACATTGCACTTTGCAATCCACTAGAAAAAGGCAAAAACATATTTTGCTGTAATAAAAGTCACTACAGCTTTTAAAGGGATACAGCAGAAAGAAGATAAGGAGAAGATTAATTTCCCTAGATTTTTGAAGCACAGCCTAGGAGCTCCTCAACCTTGAGCTCGAGGATTCATTATTTTATGGAAAGCAGTGTAAGATCTAAGCTCCCTTTGTACATTCTGACATCTAAACAGTGACACAATTTCCATATGAAAGGATAATTTAGTCCAGTTGCTCTAATTTCACTCAACCTTGCTGAGAACAAAACTGAAAAATCTGGCATATACATTCTGTCCCACAAGCTTGAAACAAGATTGCCACTTAAAATGCAAGATACACTTGGAACTACTATAGAATGTTGCTACAGTCTGGAAAATACGTTTTTGCAAGCCTAGAGAATCTGGAAAATCTCTGTTTCAAATCATATCAACATAGGCATATCTTCTGCAATGATGGGAACCATTCTGTATTACTGAAAGCACATTTTCTGATAATACTTCAGTAATCTCTTCAAAAAAGCATGCTAGATGGAAAGCTTATTAAGGTGCACGTTTTGCCTTTCGTGTAATAGCAGAATCTTGATATTCATACTTCTGTGTTAAAAACTGGCATGTTGGTACAAATTACAGGCAATCATATTGGAGTTTAAGCTAAATGTGCATCATGTGTGTGTTCTGCTCCACCTTCATCAATGTTGTTAACCTTTATTAGGGCAGAATGTGTATCGAGAGTATCAGGCAAGGGAGAAAATAAGCTTATGGGCCTTGTAGAAACCATTCAAGTTGGCAAGCCATAGCTGGCAGAGTTTACGAGAGAAAACTATCTTTTTGTCTAGACCAAAATTTTTCTCAGAGTTGATGATCCAACTTCATGCTTTTCATGGCTCACCAGGAAAAGACTGACTGCATTTCAGAGCAGTCATTAATAAAAGATTTTTTTTGTTGTTTTAAAAGTCTTTCTTCTATTTTTCTAAACCTGGTTAACACCTTCCTTGTACAGCTCCATCATTAGGCACAAAGTTTGGTGGAGTGAAATGAAATAACTCACCGTGCTTTGTAAACCATGGGAGAAAGTAGGAAAGACATTTGGTATACTAGAAGTTCTGCACCCCTTTTGATTTAAATTATTAATTACTAATGCTATGAGTGCTAAGGTTGTCTGAACATGATACAGGAGTATTTCAGAAAGGGGCTAATGGAGTAGCTGTGCAGATCTCTCACTTAAGGAAGTCTAGAGTGGATTGAATTAAATCACAAGTTTTTCTTAGATATTTCAGTTAATTGTGAATTAGTTCCATCTCTTTATATTAGCTGAAGTTTATAGTTTTGTACTCAAAATGTGAGTACTAAAAGTAATTCATAATTTCTTTACGTTCTTGCATTTGAGAACAGCAATATATAACTTGTTCAAATATGTCAAGCATGAGCTGCGTCTTCTGATACAAAGCCACCATTTTGGCATTCAAATGTTTATATAACCAGCAGGAAAAGATGAACCTATTTCTGGCTCTTGGAATCAGGGCTACGTTTCAAATAAAGAAAAAAAATTGTAATGAAGAATTCTACATTAGGTCAAAGAGTATTGGAAAATTCATGACAGCGCTGTGCTTATCATCTGTTGATTTCCTATGTAATTAACTTCAAATCCGTAATTCCCACAATTCAGCCCACTTACAAAATCAGATATAGAAATAATATCCATGTGTTTTCAGTTTTAAACATTGATGTTGGGTGGCAGAGCTAAGACAATGAAGAGAAGGACTCTTTACAGACTGCACAGCAAGTCAGAATGGTGTTTGGGTAGTCACATGTACTCTTTTCATATGCAAAATGGAAAGACTACTTATACTTTAAAAAAAAGTTAAATTACCTTTGAAGCACATTTTTCTTCATTCCATCCTTTCAAAGGCTAGATGGTGTCTTTTCTGATGTTTTACAGGCTCCAAGATTACAATCAGATCTACCATCCACCTAAGTTCTCTTTTAAAAGTATTATATATCTACCTCATATTATTATGTAAAAAAAGAGAGTTACCCAACTGGCAAAGAAAATTAATGTTCTAGTCTCCTGTCTTTGGGCTTATTTTTAGATGGTTGAGAAGGCTACCTCAAAAAAGTAAGATTTAAATAGACTTCTTTTTTTCATGAAATATAAATAGCACTTTCTTATTTCATTTTTTCCCTGGATTTTTAAAAATACTTTTTCATTTAATTATGGTTGTATTTACTAGAACTTTTAGAATAAGTGTGTTTTAAAAGACCACAGCAAAGGAACATTTAGAAACAGTGTGAACTAAATTTCTAAATCAGTTAATGTGATGACAAAGGGTCATTGCTCAAAGTCACCCTTAGTAATCTTATTAGAAGATGCTTTAAACATGAATAAAACACATTTCTTAAACCCAAATATGAAACTACTATTAAAAATAAAACTAAGTAAGAAAAAAATAAAAATCCAAGGTCTTAAAAAAAATGAAGACTTTCTTTTAAACATTGCAGTGACATGACTAGATTTTCAAAAAACATCAAAGGCTTTAAATACTTAAGAAATCTCAAAATAGAAAGGGCTGTAATCTCACTTAGCTACTGAAGAAGAGTGAAATTATGTATTAGTCTGGGCTGCAAAGATGAATTTCTTTGAGTTAGTCTAATTTTAAATGGCAATGTGTGACCCTGTCAGCTGAATCCTTTCTCTAAGAAACAAAAGGTGTATAGGAAATATGAACAGGTTGGGATCTTACAGTAGGACTTCTGTTCATTTTTACATATTTCTTCATGAGTACCAGACTAAGTCTGAGTAGTCTAATATGTAAGAAACTC